AAAAAGAGAAAGAGAAAGAGAGAAAAGGAAAAAGAGAGGCATGCGAACGGAATATGGAGGGAGGGAAGGGGGGGGGAGCTAGTGGTTGATTCCTAGTGTTGTTTCTTTGTTTTTTTTGTTTTTCTTCGTTAATTACATGACTTTGTTTTTCCAATCATTCAACACCGGTAGGCAGCACGCGCCGCTCTATCCGCTGCCCTCCACGCGGAGTTTTTACCCGACAGCTTTTGGTCTCTAACGGCCGCCACCGCGAGAGTTCATAACGGGCCTGGCAGCCATTACACGTGGCCTTTGAATTCAGTTGTTTACTTGGGTGTGCGTGTCTCATAATCTTTCGCTCAGCTGTTTGGGCGCTGGCTGCGTACACTGGGGCAAGCCATGATTGCCCATACTCGTATTTGTTACAACATATATTCTGGGAATGCGAGGGAAGAGACCTGCAGCCGGCTGAAATTATTGATATTTACTTCTACCTATATATATATATATGCAGTTGGAGTGCGAGGGGAGAAGGGGCGTCGTTGGCCTTGGCTGCTGCAGAGCTCTTTTGCTTTTTCTCCCTTTCCTTTCCTTTTTTTTTCTTCGCCTCTTCTTCTTTGCACCGTGGCAGTTCATTCTTCTCCCCTTTTACTTTTCCCCCGTCTCCGGGGTGTGGGGGCCGGCGGCCTCTCGCGGAGAATGCAGTCCTCGGCGCTGGCGCACACCGTCGCCCTGCACCGCGTCTGGCTTCCCCCCTCCGGCGGCCGCGATGGCGAGGCGGGGGGCAAATCACCACCGCCGCCGCCTGGCGAGCTGGAGCCGATCGTCGTTCTCACGGCCGGCCGCAGCGAGGCGGGGGGGCGGGGCATCGTTGCGCAATCCGCCTCCTTGCGTGCGCTGCTGGGACGCTTCTGTGGGCCTCTGCTGCTGCGGCAGGCGAGTTTGGCGTCGCGGCGGCGGGAGACGGGCAGGCTTGACTTGCACTGGGCGGCGGGCGCCACCTCGCCCGTTGCGGAGGAGGGGCTTTTCGTGCAGGTGCCGTCGTGCCAATTCACTGCCGCATGCGTGCGCGCCGCCGCCAGTGGGGCGGCGATGGATGTGGTGCACTACAACAGCCTCGGGAGTCGCTGGGGCCAGGACGGCGACGAGGCTGCGGGCGCCGCCTGCGATGTGACCGACGACGCCGTGGATGAGGGCTACATCTACGGCTTTGCACAGTTTCTCGACGTGGGGCACGCGACGGAGGGACTGCTGCTTTCCGCCTTTTCCGCCGCCCCCTTGTTTGGCATGCTGCGCACGGTGGTGCTGGAGACGCTGCCGCACCTTTTCCGCGCCGCGAGGGACGTCCACGCCGACCGTCGCACGGTGTGGCCGGCGGAGGAGCAGCGGACCGTTTCCGCCGTCTACGCGGGCGTCATGGCGCCGCTGGCGGTGCTCGTAGAGCCGCGAAGCGCGGCCTGTAGCACTCCCGCGAACGGCCACTTTTGTCTGTCGTTCCCGCAGGCAAGGATTTCCGTCCTCCGCCCGGCCGACTTGCGATACCCGTTCGTCAACGTCCCGCTGCCTGTCCTATTTCTAAGCTTTTCCTACGACGCCCTGCGTGTGATTCACACGCTCCTGCTGCAGGAGCGGCGGGTGGTGTTTATCGGGGCAACGCCGCAGCACGCCTCTGCATGCGTGGTGGGCGCTCAGGCGATGCTGTCGCCGTTCCTCTGGACGCTGCCGATCGTCCCGTATTTGCCGCCCGAGGCGTGTGAGGTGCTTGAGGCGCTCGGCGGCGCCGGGTTCCTGCTGGGCTCGACGGCGGACATGGTGCCGCAGCTGATGCTGCGCGGCAGCCTCGCCGACGCCCAGCGGCGGCCCGGCGCGGGTGGGAGGGCCGCGGCTACGGCGGTGGAGGAGGACGAGGGACGCGTCTGGTTTGCGGACGGCCGCACCGGCGTGGTCGGCGTCTCCCCCCTCGACACCGACGTCGTCCCCTTCACCATGCTTGACCTGGTGCCGCCCAGCGAGAAGGTGCGGGAGGCGGTGAAGCGGGTCGTCGGCAAGGAGACGCGGCACTTGTTTCGCGTGGCCCTCGCGTCCATGGCGACGCAGGAGCGGGGAGGCGCCCCGCCGTGGTCCGCCGCGCTGTCCTCCCCATGCACGACGGCGGCGGCTGAGCTGGAGGAGGTGCATGGGGCGTTCCTCGAGTACAGCGTGGCGCGGCTGGTGGGCAACTACCGCAAGGGGCTAACGCCTGTGGGCGGCGGCGTTGCGGGCGCCGGGGTGGGCGCGGCACGCGGCTCCCGCCTGCAGGGCGGCGTCGCGTTTGTGCTCGACTACGCACGCTTCCTGCCGTGCAACCTCGCGAACAACGCGGCGCTCGCGCGGCGCATCGCCGGCACGCGGATGTTTCATCACTGGGAAGACGCGGTGCTGTCCCTTGAGACGGTTGGCGTCTTGCGCTCCCTCCTCGGGGAGTTTGTGCGCTGCCGGGCGCGGTCGCGCCAAGGCGGCACAGCCACCGCGTCATCGTCGTCGCTGCGCGGCAGAGAGACGCCCGCCACCCACCACTATGTCTCCAACCCGCGCATGATTGGGGTGCTGCGCCTCTTCTACGCCCGCTGCGTGCGGCGGTTCCCGGGCCTCTACGGCGACTTGCAGGGCGGCGGCCCCAGCCCCGCCACAGTGACGGGTGACAGTAGTAGTACTAGTGGCGGCTGCACCAACGCCGCCGCCGCCACCACCACCAGCAGCAGCACCACGGGCGGCGGCAAGACGTCGATGCGCGCGTTCTTCTCCAAGGCGACGAGGGCGGTGAAGAAGAGCCTTGCCCCGCCCTGCAGTCGACTTCCCGTGCAGGTGTTTGTGCAGGCGTACGGCAGCTTTGCCAACAAGACGAGCTACGCGAAGGACCCCAACAAGCTTGCCCTGCTGAACAAGGAGTTCAGGGACAACGCGAGCGCCGCCGCCAGCTTCGCCGCAACGCGCTCCCCAGCCGGCGTCGTCGTCGGCGCCAACCCCGCGGCGCTGCCGCCATCGCCGTGTTCGGCCGCCGCCGATGACGCCGAGGACGACCTTTACGGCACCGCTTCAGACGTGTTTGGCGCCTACATTGAGGACAGGGACGCGCTGCGCCGCCTCGCAACGAGTGAAGGGGCGACGGCCCCCGCCGTTCACTGTCGGCGACTGCCGCTCGACGTCATCCATCAATTTGCCCGCTACCACGCACTTCTGGACCCCAGAAAGGACTCCATGTGTACAACAGGCCGGCGTGCGGGCACGACGGCGGGAGCGTCGGCGGAGGAGCTGAAGCGGTTCCTGGAGTTTGCACCGCTCTTCGCGGCCGAGTTGAGCATCTGGCCCGTCCTTGAATCCAAGCGATTGGCGCTGCTCAGCATGCCAGCGCCCCCGCCCGCACCGCCGCCGCCGTCGGAGGCACGGCAACAACAGCAACAGCAACAGCAGCACATTCTTCCCACCGCAAGCGCTGCCGAGGCCAGCTGGGGGGATGTTCCGTTCCAGGCCCAGCCTCTCCCCTTTTCTATGGACCTTGTCGTGCGTCCAGTGGAGCTCCCGCCGCTCGTGGACGCCTTTGCGTTTCCTCACGGGCCATACGGCGGCGCGGCCGCAATGTGTAACGCGCCTGAGGCGCAGGGCCCCCAGGCATCTGCAGCCGCTGCCGCCGCCGCTGCCGCTGGCGGTAATATTATGGATGAGCTTTTTGCTTTTGCTGCGCCGCCCCCCCAGTCCTCCCCCGGCTCTACGAACGTCCCCACGCAGCTGGAGGACTTCTTTCGGTAAAAAATGACGCCGCTGATTATGTTCTTCCCGACGCCTCTCAGTCGTTGTGTTTTTTTTATCTTTCTTCAGTGTCCAAAGGCTCACGCCCGACATCGCTGTCCTCGATTGGACCCCTGTTCTTTGTTGCTTCCGTCATTCTCCGTCTCCGGGCAAAGTGCGTTGTAACCCGTCGCCCCTTCTCTCATCCCACTTCCACTCGTGGTGTCTGCTTGGGCCGTGTTATTCGCCGGCTTCAGGGACCGTCCTCCCTCTGGGGCGAAAAGAGGACGTTGAAGAACAGAAACATGTTACCCCCGCCACCGGCACCGCCACAACCGCCGGCTGCGAAGCAGGCACCGGCACCGACTGCGAATTGGGAAGCTTCATCGCCAATACCGGCATCTTTTAAGGTGCTGGGTGGAGCTGTTGTGCCTGCTGTTCTGTCTGGAGTGAATGGGAATGGTACACCTATGTGTGAGTCCTCTCTGCTGAAGCCGGGCAAGGTGAGAGCTGTCAGCGATGACGGATGCGCCTCCGGTGGGGTGCCGTCTCCGTTGCCCAAAGTTGTCCCAGGTGGACAGCGTCCTCTTCCTTCAAGAGAGAGTCTAGATGCACCTTTGCTGTATGATGCGGGCGGCGATGGGACTTCGAGGAAAGATTCTGGAGAAAGCCCAGAAAGTTCTGTCGTCACGCGTGAGAAATTGCTTCGGTTGCTGGGGCGCATTGCTTGTTCCGGCGAGGAGGCTTCGTACAGCGTTGCGAGCCCTGGTGTTACGATCAATGATAATAGGAACGTTATCCAGTCTTGTTACGGTGAGGAACACGTTTTTCTGGATGACCTCTTCGTACATGTGCTTTCGGCCCTCGAAAAGGTGGTGCAGCAATTTCTCTGCCGGGCCTTGACGCGGGAGTGGACGTGCAAGCTTAAGGGCGAGGTGTCACCCCCGTCACCCTCAGCAGCGGATGCAGCACGGCTTTGGACGACGGCGTGGCGTCAGGCGCAGCACCGCGACGAGGAGGCATGGATTGCGTGGAGATCTGCACTTTGCCGTTCCTGGCGCCGCACCCGGCGTGAGAGTGCCTCACGTGAGCGGGGCGAGGCGTTGAACGCCGCCCTCTTTCAGTTTGACCCCTGCGGCGGCGCAGCAACGCGGGGTGCCCCGGCCCCCTCGAGCCGCGCTGTCGAGACGCGCCAGACGGAGACGGCGGCAACCAAACAAAGGCTCTATGCCCTTTTGTACCGTGTCTTTTGGACCTGCCCCGCTCTTCTGCTCGACGAGGACGCCCAGCGTCTGGCGGCGGCTGCCGACTTTAGCTTGGACTCCGTGCGCCTGGGGATATGTGCGGCGGGCGAAGACGAGGCGGAGGCGGAGGCGGAGGAGATCACGGGGTTTATACGCAGCCTTTCTCGCCGCGGACAGGCTCAGGCGCGCGAGGCCGACCTCGCAACGCTGGAGGAGGTGGAGCGACTGTTTGCTACCGAGCGCCGGGCGCTGCTGCGTCGCCTCGGCGCGGGACAACCCCCGCCTTCACCGTGCGGTCCCTCCCCAGACGCCACTACTCCCACCACCCGCTACGCGGCGGCGACGCCGCCGCGGTACGTTGAGCCGACTCCCATTCAGCTTCGCCCCCCAAGCTTGACGCCCCTCGGCGGCAGCTCCCCCGCCGCACGCATTCCGGACGGGGCGGAGAGGCTGTGGGCGCGGCAAATTGCATCCCCGAGTTACGAGGCGGGCTTGCGCGCCTCTGACGAGCACCATGGCGCTCTTGACATGCGAGCAGCGAGGCGACCGAGTGGCTCTGAGGGTCGACGTGTGCAGTGGCCTGTAGAAGCAGGAGAGGGCGCCAGTGCCGCACGCTCGCCAACGCCGCGGTTTGTGGATCGGGCAGAGCCGGAGCGACGACTGCCCTCTGCGCTAAGGACCCCAAGGTCTGTATCCTGGTGGTGAGTGAGGGGCGTCCCGAGTCCTTTCTCTCTGTGTGTGCATGTGTGTGGTTCTTCTGCTCGTATCGTTCTTACTTTGAACTGCCGCATTAGTTTCCGCACCGTGACGCCATTGACTTATGCACGTTGTGTGACAACTTCCTGCGGCCGTGTCGGTGTTGTCCTCAGCCTCCCCTCCACCCCCCGTTTCTGCATTTGTTTTACCGCCTTTTTTTGCGTTTTTGCAGAATGACGACCTCGTTGTGCCCAATCTCTTATTTGTGTTGTTTTTTTTCTTGTTTTTTTTTCCGTTGTTGTTTGTTTGTTTGCTGCTTGCTTTCTTTCCGTGTTTTTATGTATTCTCTTGCGGTTCGCGGTGGGCAAAGTGTCGGGGGAAAGAGGCAGCATTGCCGCTTGCGGGAGCGGGAGCGGAAGCGGAAGCGGGGGGGGTGGGGGGGGGGGGGAGAGAGAACGTCTGTTGCGTGCGTCCGACGGCGGTGCAGTGATGTGGGGTGTGTGTGGGTTCGCATAGTTGTTGTTGTTTTGTATTTGTGCCTTCCCCCTTCCCTCTTCGTCGCCGCCCCACCACACGCGTGCGTATGTGTGTATGTGTGTGTGTGTGCGTGCGTGAGTGCCGGCGCCCCACAAGGCGGGGTGCTTAGGCGTGTAGCAAAACGTAGTGGGCGTGGCGCCGTCAATGACCGCCGCGTTGCCCGCGCCGTCGGCGCTGATGCCGCGGCAGCTGCCGCCCGCGATGCAGGAGCCCCTCGTGCCGTCGATCAACTTCGCGATGGTGTGCCCCGGCGTCTACCGCTCCGGCTACCCGACGCGGAAGAACTACCGCTTTCTGCGCGCGCTGCGGCTGCGCACCATCCTCTACCTCTGCCCCGAGGACTACGCGGAGAGCAATGTGAAGTTCTGCGAGGAAAACGGCATTCGCCTGCTGCGGTTCGCCACGGAGGGCAACAAGGAGCCCTTCATGGACATCTCCGAGCCGCTGATGCACCGCATCCTCAGCGCCCTCGTCGACACCCGGACGCACCCCATCCTCATCCACTGCAACAAGGGGAAGCACCGGACCGGGGCCGTGGTGGCCTGCCTGCGGCTGCTGCAGGGCTGGTCGCTCGTCTCCATCTTTCAGGAGTACCGGTGCTTCGCCGGCGACAAGGCCCGCATGGGGGACCAGCAGTACGTGGAGCTCTACCACCCCATCGTGCGCGTGACGCCGCCGTACGTGGCGGAGTGGCTCTGCGTCACGCGCGAAGTCACCGTCGTCCAGAGCGAGCAGGCGTTGCTGGAGGCGGAGGCGCGGCAGCTCGGGTGGAGCCTCGTCGCCCCGCCGCCCTCCTCGTCGCCGCCGCCGCCCTCCTCGCCGTCGCCGTCGCCGTCGCCGAAAAGGCAGAATAAGCAGCCGAAGCCAAAGCCGTCGCCGTCGCCGCCGCCGCCGCCGCCGCCGGAGGAAGAGCGGCAGCGGCAGCAGCAGCAACAACAACATCAACATCAACAACAACTCCCACCGTTGCCGCCTCCGCCCGGAAAGGCGGCGGCGCACAACTCCCTGAGGGAGGCTGCAGCGCAGCACGTCAACTGCGAGGCCGCGGCACCGCCGACAAAACCGCATGCGTCCCCTGCAGCAGCGGGTTCCGCCACACCCACCGCGGCACCGCGTCGCTCCGGAGGGCACGGCGAAGGCGGAGGTGAATCAGGGAAGACCAAGGACGGCGGCGCGACCCCGCGGAGGGAGAACGGAGATAGCAAGAAGGGCCAAAAATGACGCGCTAAACTTGAGTTGAGTAGACCAGGGCCAGTGAAGCGGAGAGGAGAGCCGTGGTTGCGGTGGCCAAGCATATATTTTTAGCTATGGGGGAGAAAAAGAGAGTGGGGGCGGGCGAACGTGTGAGCATGTGTGGAGATGTGCCGTGTTTTTTTGGTGTTGTTTCTTTTCTTTTTCTTTTTTGTAGAGGCAAGAGGCTGGGAGCAGCGAAGGAAAGACGTGCAGCGTTTGCGTTGAAAAACCGCGTCCGCAATGCAGTGTGCGTGCGACGTGCACGCGGCTCCCCTTCTCTTCTTCTTTTATCTTCCCCTTCTCCACTTTTGCCTCCCTGCGTCCCTGTTTCTCGCTGCGCCCGCCCCGAAAAACGCCACGGCGGCCACGTGGTGGTGGCGGTGGTTGTTGTTGTTGTTGTTGTTGTGTGTTTTTCTTCTTTTTGTATTCCCTCTGCCGCCTTCCAAAACTCTTGGTTTTTTTTTGTAGTCTTTTTGCCTTTTCTGTTTTTCTTTTCGTTGCCGCGTTTCACGGCTGCCGCGCGAGTGTTTGTACGCGTGTGTGTGTGTGTGTGGCTGAGAGGGGCGGAGGGCGGCCCGTCTTCCGGGTCCCCCCCCCCCTCTTGTCTCTTGCAGCAGCGGCGGCCGGGCCACTGGGCTTGCCACGCGGCAGCAGAAAGAAAAAAAGCAGATAAAAAAGAGGAGAGATGGAGAGAGAGCGAAGGAAAAAAGAAGAAGAAGAAAAAGATGGAATAAGTTGGGCGGGTGGGTCTGCGCCCGCCGCCGCCGCTGCCGCCGCCGCTAAGCTCTACGTTGTGCTGCTTGTCTCCTGCCTGCCCTATCGCTTTCTGCCGCCGGGGCCTGCAGAGGAGGGAGGGAGTGCAAGCCTTCTTTCCTTCCTTCCTTTTTCTTTATCTCTTTTGTTTGTTTCTCTTTTTCGCTTGCACGCACGCAGCGAGGGGCTGCGGGAAGCTGCGTGTGTGCATCAGCGACTGCGCGGAGGAGCGACGACTGCCCCCACCCACCCCCGTTCCCCTGACCGAGTGGGACGCCGCCGCAGGGCACTGGGAGAGAAGCCAAGCCACACATCCACAACAGCAGCAGCAGCAAGCGTAGATAAAAGAAGGGCAGGCGAAAATAAAAAAAAACAAGCAAAATAACAAAAACAACAACAACACAAGCTGTGAGATGCCATCGTTGCTTCGCACCAACTATGCACTCATGTCGTTCTACGTGCGGGAGCGGCTCTGGCGCCACGCGGAGCTTGTCTGCACGGATACTATTAAGAGCACCGACAGCTGGGTCTTTCGCGTCTGGCGCGCGCTCTGCTACGACCAGCAGGGACAGGCGAACGAGGCGCTGCGTGAGTACAAGGCCGCGGAGCAGCGGCGGGAGACCACGCTTCCTGCGTTGATGGGCATTGCGCTCATTTACCGCCGGAGCAAAGACGTGGAGGGGCTCGCCGCGGTCGAGCGTTCCCTCGGCGACGGCGCCCACGCGGAGGACGTGGACGGGTGGGTGCAGGCGGCCGCGCTGGCGTGGGCGGCCGGCGACACCGTCGCCGCCCGCGACATCCTCGTGCGCTTTCAGGACGGCCACGACGAGCACCGCGACGAGTACACGAACCTCGCGACGGTGCGGGCGTGGGTGGACCTCAGCACCGGCCGCGGCGCCTTCCTCGAGCGCTGCGGCACCCTCCTCACCAGGGTGATGGAGATGGAGGACCAGGACGGGCAGTCGATGGACCTGGACGCCGCCATGGGCCGCGTGGTGTACTTCGAGCGCAAGATGCAGTTCTTCCTCGCCCAGCAGCTGCTAAACAAACTCATCGTCAGCTACCCGAACTTCACCCCGGCGCTTGTCGTGAAGGCACGCCACCTCATGAAGGCGGAGGACTGGGACCAGTGCTGGGAGACGACGAAGCGCGTCCTCGCCAAGGAGAAGACAAACCTCGAGGCGCTCGCGCTGAACACCCTCTTTCTGCTGGTGAAGGACGCCCGCTACGAGGACGCCGCCGCGCAGCTGCCGCGGCTTCTGGGGGCCGTCCAGGAGAAGGAGCCAAGAAACGCGGCACTGTTCTTCGAGTACGCGCAGTGCTTCTCGCGCCTGGGTGGGGCCTACCTGCCGCTGCTGGGCGTCACCCTGCAGTTTGCCGAGCTGGCCCACCGCATGGTCGCGCAAAAGGGCGACTACCTCGCCGAGGTGGGCTACCAGCAGATGCTGCGCGGCGAGTACAAGGCGGCGATTGCCACCTTCAAGAAGGCCTCCGCCACGCCGGACAGCAGCATCACACCGCTGCTCGGCCTCATCCACTGCCTCATCCTCACCGGCAACCTGGACGAGGCTGCGCAGCAGATTGAGTTTCCCAACGAGATCCAGGCACCGAACCAGCGCAACGCGGAGCTGAGCCTCCTCAACGCCATCCTGCAGTGGCGGCGGAACAAGAACCATGCAAAGACGCTCCTTTTTCTGGATCAGGCGGCAGAGGCCGTGCGGCAAGATGTAGGCTCGTACCAAACGGGGATGCAGCTGTACGTCAAGCTGAACCCGCCATTGATGCTCAATATCGCGAAGGAGTACATGCAGCACTGCCGCACCGAGCCGCCGGACCCAACGGTGCGCAAGGCAGACCCCGTTGTAGAGAAGTGTAAGCGGCACCTGGAGTTACTGCTGCGGCACGTTCCGGGTTGCCTGGAGGCCCAGCTCCTCCTCTCCAAGATTTACTTTGTCGCCGGCGACCTGGAGAGGGCGCAGACAATGATCAAGACGTGCATCCGGCATGCCCACGTGCTGCCCGAGGCGTTTCTGCTTTCTGCACAGATTTGCCAGTATGTGGGCAACGCCACCCTGGCCTTGCAGGCGCTGGAGCAGGCACTGACGCTGGACTTTGAGATGAAGGATCAGCCGCAGTACAACCTGCTGCACGGCATCGTGCTTGGAATGATGCAAAAGCATCAGCAGGCGCTGGAGGCGCTGCAACTGGCCTTAAAACTCACCAAGGACAAGTCGCGAGTGACAAGCAAGGGTCGGCCGCTGCAGCCACTGAGTGTGCAGGACCACGTCAGCCTCTACCTGCAGCTCTCGCAGACGTACCTCAGGCTGCATGACACGGAAGAGGCGCGCGCCACCTTGGCGGAGGCCACGGCGCTGTTTAAAGACACAACTCAGGCAGGGCGGGTGACGATTGCGAGCGCGATGGTTGCCGCCCGCACCGACATGGAAAAGGCCGTGGAGATACTTGGGCAGGTGCCGCCGCGGAGTGAGTTCTTCACCGCCGCCAAAACCCGCATGGCGAACCTCTACCTCACCTACCGGCAGAACCGCCACAGGTACGCCAGCTGCTTTGAGGAGCTGGTGGAGGAGCTGCCGACGCCGTACAGCTACCTCCAGCTGGGCGAGGCGTACATCAACATTCAGGAGCCAGAGAAGGCCATCGTCGCCTACGAACGGGCAAAGGCGATGGACCCCGACAACAGCGAGCTGGACGTCCGCATCGGCCGCGCCCTCGTGTCCACGCATGACTACCAACACGCTGTCCGCTACTACCGTGACGCGGTGGCGACCGATGGGGCGACGTTCACCGTTATTGCCGATCTTGCGATGCTTTACTGGCACCTCGGCGCCCCCGAGCGCGCGGTTGGGGTGCTGAAGGAGGCGCCGGCATACAAGAGTGAGCCGGACGCCGGGGAGGAGGTCGAGCGTGCCATTGAGCGCGTCAACTGCACGCTGCTTATGTACAAAATTCAACGCAGCTGCCAGACGCCGGAGGTGGCGGCGGCGACGCTCCTGCAGGCCCGTGGGTTTCAGGAGCACGTTTTGCACCACGTACTGCGAAATGAGACGCGCGAGACAGTTTATCAGCAGAAGCTTGTCGCCGCCACGATCGCCCTGGAGCTGGGCGGTTACTACGCCTCGACCGGGGACGTGGAACATGAGAAGGAGTGCTACCAGATGGCGCGGATGTACGACGAGGCAAACGAGGCGGCGCTGCTGGCGATCGCGCGGCTTCTGCTCGACAGCGGCGACGCAGCCGCGTGTGAGGAGCGGTGCAATGCGGTGCTGCGGATTAACCCCACCTCCGAGGAGGCGGTGGTTATCCTCGCCGACGTCATGATTCGCCGTCACCGGTTCGAGGACGCGGCACAGCACTTTAGCCAGCTGCTGGAGAAGACCCCGGACAACTACGAGGCGCTGGTGCAGTACGTGAGGCTGCTGCGCCACGCCGGGCGCCTCGCCGACGCGGTGACGATGCTTGAGCGGGCCGAGGACCTCGTGCCGGCGGGGCAGCGGCCCCCGTCGGGTCTGAGCTTCGCGCGGGGGTTGTACCACCGCTACTGCCACGAGAACCTGGAGGCCCTCCGCGCCTTCAACGCCGCGCGGGTGCCCGTCGACGACACCCAGTGGAGCACGCCAGCGCTGACGAACATGATTGAGATGTACCTCTTCTCCTCGACCGAGGCGTTTTGGGCCGACACCGTCCTGCGCGACGAGGACAAGAACGAGAATGTTAGGATCGCCGAGCGGCTGCTGCTGCAGATGCCGCATGGGGAGTCGCGGGACATTCTGCAAGGGTATTGCTGGCTGGCTAGCAAGAAGCGGCCGTTGGTGGAGCGGGCCATGAAGGAGTTCACGCAGCTCTGCACCCTCACCGAGAGGGTGGCGCGGCAGGAGGAGCCGGCGTCCGGTGAAGCGAGTCCCGAGGGCGAGGCGAAGGACGAGGAGGAGGACGAGGATGAGCAGCTGCTGAGCGGCGTCAAACGGCCGCCACCGCCGCCTGGCCGGCTGAACGTCCCCGCCCGCGTGGGTTTGGCCATCGCCTGCTTCATCGCCGGCCTCGAGAAGAAGGCGGCTGCTGAGCTCAAGCGGATTGTCTACACGCCGTTTGACCCCCTCACCATCGACGCCGTGCACCGCGCCCGCCTGCTCGCCGCACACATGAGCATTCTAAAAAATGACCTCAGAATGGCCCAGGCGATGCTGGAAAAGAACATCGAGGTCAACAAGAGCTGCTCGCAGACCTGGTTGATGATGGGCTCCGTGCACGAGCTCGGGAATCAGCACACGGAGGCCGCCAACTGCTACGAGAATGCCTGGGAACTGACCAAGGAGCGCGACCCGTCGGTGGGGTACAAACTGGCGTTTCATCGAATGAAGTCGGGAAAGCTGCTCGCGGCGATTGACGTCTGCCGCAAGGTGCTGGAGGTGCATCCTAGTTACCCAAAGATAGATGAGGTGCTGGAGGCGTGCCGCGGCCTTCTGCGACCTTGAGTGAGGGAGGAGCAGAAGGGGCCTGTAGTAGAGCTGTGTGTGTGCGTGTGGGAACCAGCGTGACGCGGAAACGTGGAGCGGAGTCTGGGAGTGGTGTGAGGACTAGAGAAAGAACTGGCCCACGGGCGTGCGCAGAGAAGTTGCGTGTCCCCGTCTCTCTCTCTCTCTCTTGCTCTCTGCGCGTGTGTCTCTCTGTCTGTCTGTTTCTCTCTCTCTTTCTGCCCTTGCATTATCGTCCCGCTGCCTGCCTTCCTTCCTCTAGACCGCTTCTGCGTAAACGAGAGACGTCTTGCGGGTGGTCGAGTTTTGCATTTCCGTGCCATCAGGACCGGCGTTGCGTAAGACGCCAGACGGCCGATGAATTGATCCTCTGCCCGCTCTGCACGGAACCCTTGCGACGGGCCAGCGGAGCTGGCGCCGCGGCGCCGAGTCCCTTTGCTGCCTGCCACCGTTTGAATGCAACGCGGCGCTGCTGCAGTTCCTTTGGGAGGGTGAGGGGGAAGAGGGCACGAGGAAGATGTGCCCCACCAACGGCTGCGCCCGCAGCACGGAGGAGCCGTGACAGTTTCAGTTTCAGTGTTTCTTCTTTTTTTATTATTTCTCGTCTTCCTTCGCTCCTGTTGTGTGGCGTCGCTTGTGGCGCGAGGTTTCCTGCGTTGCCGGCGGTCTGTTGCTTCCGCCCTCGGCTCCTCCCGTTTCGTCAGTGTAATGTGCACGGTTGCGGCCGGCGTGGGCCTGCCGCGGGCTCCTGCCCTGGGCGCCGCGGGAACACAGGCCATCACCCAATCTTTCTTTGCCTTCTTTGCCTCGGCCGTTTGCGGAAGCTAAAGGCGCGCACGGAGTACTCCACACTGTTCGTGGCTCTCACTGCCGTCAAGGGAAGAAGGGGGACGTGCGGCGTTGAGGCACTCCATCGCCGCGCCACGCGCACCCGGTCACTGAGAGCACCGCCTCGTTTCTTTAAGTGTTTTTTTTCCCGCGACGTCAGTCGAGGAGGCGGCGGGGCGCAGGTAGAAGAGGCGGGAAGAGGAGGAAATAAATATGGGCTCGTGCACCAGCTGCCCCGACGCGGCACAGGAAGTCGCCGCGAAGGCGCCGCCCGGCTGGCGCGGGCGACTGCGAAGGGCGAGTCAAAGAAAGCAGCGCGCCGCGGGCGGGGGCCACGAGCACGCGGAGGGCGCCAGCGAGGCCGTGGGTCCGCCGTGCGCCTTTTTTTCATGGGAAACGGAGCCGCTGCTCTTTGACCCGGCCTCCGCCCCTCTGTTTCGCGGCAAATACGGCGAGGAGGCGCTGAAGGAGGCCGGGCGGTTGCGGGCGGCGGCGCCGACGTCCGAGGCGGCCAATTTGCCCCCGCACTCGCTGTTTCTGCGCCTGCCTGGCGAGATCCGCGGCCAGCGCATCACGGCCTACGAGAACTCCCACTGCGCCATTCTGCTCCTGGACCACTGCGACAGTGTGTCCCTGCATGAGTGCGAGCACTGCTTTATCTTTATTGGGCCCACAAGCGGCTCCGTCTTCATGGACCGCTGCCACCACTGCGTCGTCGTGGGCTGCTGTGCCCAGCTGCGCCTGCGTGGGTGTCGGCAGCTGCAGCTCTCCCTCGCCGTCGCCACGATGCCGGTGCTAGAGGAGAGCACCGGAATTGGGGTCTGCTCGCTCTCGGGATGGTTTGTGTATCCGCTGATGCCGCTGCACATGCAGCGCGCCGGACTCTCCGCCTTCAACAACTTCTATGCGACGGTCCAGGACTTCACGCCGCGGCCGGTCGCGCCGCGCGTGGGACGCGGCTGCAGCGCCTCGGGCAGCAGCAACAACCTTTACTACATCCACCAGGCGGAGTTCGAGAGGAGCTGCTGGCTGCGGTGGCAGCGGCTGGGCGGCGGCCCAGTGGCGCACGACGACGTGGAGCTGACGCTCGCAGGAGAACACGAAGCCCGCGGGGCCGCGCAGCAGGAGGCTGGGGGACAAGCACTGGCCCCACCCTCCCTTCTTTCCTGTCCACTCGTTCTGCTGCAAAGCAACGAGCAGCTGCCGCGGGCGGCGAGGCAGTCGGGCAACCCCCTGCTGCAGCTGCCGGTGGACAGCGAGGGCCTGCTGGAGATGTTTCACCACACCGTCGTCGTCCCGTGCACCTTCGGCAGCAACAGGGCACTGCCGCGCGTCGTCAGCGTCGGAAAGTGGGAGCCGCGCCTGTTTGTCGTGAGGACTGCGGGAGGCGGCGGCACAATTGCGATGCGCATCGTGCGCGCGGTCGAGTTGGGCCGTCGTCGGGGCTTCCTCGCCCGCATGCGGAGTGGCCTCACGCAGGCGATGGAGAGCGACGACGACGGCGGCGGCGGCGTCGTCGACGGCGACGTGCTGCTGCTGAACACCGTGGAACTGTACTGCACGGAGGCGCTGGTGCGGCGGCAGTTGGCGCCCGTACTGCGAGAGTTGGCGGCAGGCAATAAAAACGACGCGACTGTGCAAAGAGCGGTCGCGGCGGCGGCGCAGCGGATGAGCAAACACGCATGCATCTTTTTACTCGCGCTCTTGCGGCCTGCCGCGAAAACAGACACAGCGGTTGAGGGGGCACAAGCCATTTTCGCCTCGTTGGGGGCACCACCTCCACCTCCACCGCCGCCGCCGTCCGCCGTCGCCGCCGCCCTCCGCCTGCGCCACCGGCAACGACAGCAGCAGCCGCGAGGGCAGTCCATCCCCGCGCCAGCCGCGTGCCTTGGAAGGCGTGGGGGACGTCGCGCGATGGGAGAAGTCTGTGCTGCTACATCTGCCGGTCCCTATGGAGCAGCTAAGTGCCCTGCAGTCTGCCATTTTTCTGCGTGCAGCGACGACAGGGACAGGCGTTGGCCATGCCTTTTGACTGAACCACACACGCATCCGTGCCATGATGCGTGTGTGTGTTGTGGCATGGTCACTTCTGGACCAGTTGGGCGTTGTTGTTGCTTTTTTCCCTTTTTTTTTCCTTTTTTTGGTTACTGGGCGTTTTTTCCTTGTTTCCTTGCCGGACATCGGTCCGTTAGAGGTGACTGTATGTACGTGTTTGGCATTTGTTTCCTGCTGCCGCTGCGACGCTGTTTCTGCTGAACTCCTCTCCCCCTGCCTCCGCCACTGCTGCCGCCACTGCCGCTGGAGGCGCCTCAGTCCCCGTATTGCTGCTGCTGCTGCTGCTGCTGCTTTTTTTTCTTTGCTTATTCTCTACTGATCTGCTGCTCTCTCTCTCCCCCTTCTATCGCTCTCTATGGCGCTCCGCAGGAGGGAGGGGGGAAAAAAGGAGTGTGTGAGAGTGTGAGTGTGGCCGCCATGGGCGCATTCGAGGCGTTCCTGCTGGCAGCAGCCAAGCGGGCACCGTTTGCGGTTGGCGAGGCCGCTCTCACCGCGGCGGCGCGGCGGCAGCCGCAGAAGCGCCTCCGGGAAGACGACGCGGCGACGGACGGGGGCGGCGGCGCCACGAAGCAGCCGGCGGCTCCCGAGGAGGATGTGGCGCGGCTGCAGCGGCTGCTCGTGGACGGCCCGCTGCAGCCGCTCGGCCTGGAGCACGCGGTGTACCACGTCCTCCTCCCTGCCTTCGCCGCCGCGATGGGGGCGGCGCGGGAGGTGTGGCGCGCCACGGCGGCACTGCAGGCGGCTGCGGAAGCGGCGGCCCCATCGCGGCAGGAGCCGGGCGGGGGCGCGCCGCCCAGCATGGAGGCGTTGCAACGGGCCGTGGCCGCGGCTCAGACGAAGTTGGCGGCGCAGCGGCAGTTGCTGGACGCCGCGGAGGCCAAACTGCGGGTGACGGTGGGTGCCGTGACGTCTGCCTGCGCCGCGGCGCAAACGCCAGAGGGAGGCGCGGCCACTGGCCTAGGAGATATTCAAGTCGACTGTTTTTTTTTGTTTTTTTATCGTTTCCCCAACCGACCCTTTCGTCGCCCTTTGTTTTCGCGTGTGGTGCTGGGGCTGCCTCTGCCTTCTTCGTGAGCCCTCGCTAATCTGCTGCCCACGCAAGGGAAAACACACACACCACACCACACACGGCGAGAGCAGCCGAGGGGTGGCAGCAGCAAACATGCAGGTCTTCAGCGAGCGCATGGCGTCACGCGGGGGAATCCCGCTGCCGCTGGCGTACTACATGCAGCCGGCGGTGGCGACGGCGGCGGCCCAACCGGTGGACGTGTTCGCGGCCCGGCTTGAGGGGCGGACATTTCACGAGGCACTGCGCAGCGATGGCGGGTTCGCAGTCGTCACCGCATTTCTGCTGGGCGGCGTTGACGTGAATGTGCGGGATACGCACGGGGCGACGCCGCTGCACACCGCGGTCGCGCGGGTTTCCCCCACAGACGGCGACGGCGACGGCGACGTCGCCCCGGTGCTCGCCGCCGAGGGCCCCAACAATTTGATCATCGCCTTCCTCCTCGACAACGGCGCCGACGTGAACGCCCACAACACCGCCGGGGAGACACCGCTCATGATCGCCGCGGCGACGCAAAACATCGCCGTGGTGCGCATCCTCCTGGCGCACGGCGCCGACCCCTCGCTCCGCGACGACTTGGGGAACACCGTGCTGCACCACGCCGCCCGCCACCCGCACGTGCTGCAGACGCTGCAGGCGTGGGTCGACGACCTCCCCGCCCGGGCGGTGCGGGAGAACCTCCTCCACGTGGTGTGCCGGCAGGGCGGCGCCGGCGCGGAGCTCGCGGCGCTTTTCCTCATTGAGCAGCTGGGCGTCGACGTGAACGCGCGCGAGGAGGAAACCGCCACCACCGAGGACGACGCCCGTCATTCCTCCACGGAGGCGAACGGCGCCGACGCCGCGCCACTCTCCAGCGTCGCGGTACGGGAGGGGCGCACCCCGCTGCACTACGCGGTGCTCGCGGGCGATCCGGTGCTGGTGCGTGCGCTGCTGCAGAAGGGCGCCGATTTGGAGAAGCCAGACGCCACGGGACGGACGCCGCTGCAGCTGGCGAAGGAAGCCGCGGCGGCACGCCCATCCTCGTCCTCGTTCATTAGGCGCCCCTGCAGCATCCTCGCGCTGCATCGCGGCGGCGGCGGAAGGGCGGCGAGGCCGGTAGACGCACGAAAGGTCTGCGCTATCCTGGAGGACTACCGTGGCGAGGCGTCGGCGCAGAGGCGAGAGGCAAAACTGCAGCGCGAGGCGGCGGCCGAGACATCGTTGCGGAGGCTCAATTCGCTGGGCGACGTACTGTTGTTTGGGGTGGCGGCGACGCTGCCGCACTTTGTGCTTGCGCTCTGCGCGCTGCTGCCGCTGCCGCTGTGGCTCCTGGCTGCCGCGGCTGTTCTCACCCTCACGTCGTGCGCCGGCTTCAGCATGAAGGACGACGGCCGTTTGAATGCGAGGCCGCTGCGGCCTGTGGGATTCTTCGTCGGCTACACCGTGGCGCTGCTGGCCTGCAGTGCCCTGCTGGAGGAAGCCGTGGTGCCGCTGCACTCCATCGGTCGGCAGTGCGTGCTCCTGTGCGGCGTTGGCGCCGCCGCCTGCGCCCTCGCGGCGGTGTGGAGGAGCCCCGGGCTCGTGGAGTCCACCGCCGCGCAGCGGGTTGGAATCTACAAGACAATTCTGCACTCCAAAGGGGCCCCCGCGGAGGACGTGCGGCAGAGCATCGATCTTGTCTGCATGGTGAAGAAGCCGCTGCGGGCGCAGCGCTGCCGCCACCTTGGGCGCGTCGTGCTCCGCTACGACCACTACTCCCTCTGGCTGGCGAGCTGCATTGGCGGGGGCAACCACCGCTCGTACGTCGGCTTCCTCGTCCTCTACACCGCCCTGCTTGGGGCAGGCTGCCGCGGCACCTACCTGCTCCTGTCGGGCCGCATTGACACGGAGGTGGTCTTTGCCAACGCCCCCGCCAGGCGCCTTGTCGAGGTCTACGGCTTGATTCTTCTGCCCGTCGTCTTCCTCCTCGCGCTGGGGGCGCTGCTGCAGCAGCTGTGGTACATCAGCCGCGGCGTCACCGCGTACGACGTGGCCCACCCCGCGCGCTGCCCCTGGTGCTTCCAGCTGGGCTCGCACACGTACTCTCTCTTCGACGTCGGGCTCGCGGGAAACCTCTGCCGCTTCTTCCTGGGACGCGAAAACCTCCTGGCCGTCTCCTACCGGATGCCGGTGATGAGTGCACGGCTGCAGCAGATGGCAAAGAAGTTTCAGGCGCGGCAGCTGATGACGTGCGGGGGACCGCAGTGCCACCCGCGCCCGGATGAGGGCCACAGCCACACACACGTCGGAGGCTCGTGTCAGCCGCAGTCGCATCAATGGGACAGGCAGCAGCGGTCAAACGCGACAGTAAGCACTGTGTTGGACAACGCGGACGGGGCCCTTGGCCCACTTGCGACAGGCTCCGTTGTTGGTGCCACGTCTTCCGCGCCGGCACGCGCACTCACTGCTCTTCCTGCTGCTGCTGCTGCTGCGCCTCCTCCTCGCGCCGCTGCCGCCACGCCACTGGCCCCCGATGCCGCCGTGGGTCGCCTCTTTCAGCTGATGGTGCAGCAGGACGGCGCGGATGTGACGGCGACGGCTGCCGCGGCCGAACTGCAGGCCGGCGTGTCGCCCGAGGAGTGGCCACGCGTCGTGGAGAAGGCCCGGTCCATGTTTGGCTTCTTCAAGGGCACCATGGAGGCGAATAGGTGACCCCCCCCACACACACACACACACGCACGCGCACGCACAGACCGCGGCCGGGGAGGGCGTTGGGTCGCGGCGAGCAGCCCGCGTAGAAGACGTTCATTGGCGTCGGCCGGTGGGGGTTTATTTATTTGTTTGTTTGTTTGTTTTCGTTGGTTTTCCTCCTCCGCCTCTTTTCTCTCGATATATATATATATTATATACATCTCTCTCTCCCCCTCTCTCCCTCTCTGTGTGCGTGCGTGTGCGCCGTGGAATGTCTCCTCCGTCCCATTTTTCTCTGCCTTTTCGTGCGTCGGCTCCCGCCGCCAACGTCGCGGCCCCCTTTTTTTTTTTTTTCTTTTCTTTCGCCCGCTCTCCCTGGCGCCGCCGCAGCCCCGGTGAAGCGGCAGAAGCAGCGAAAGGGACAAAACAGCAGCAGCAGCAGCAGACAAGAAAAAAAAAAGGGGAGAGGCAGCAGCAGCAGCAGCAAGACAAACAAAATTCCTGCCAGCAGCGAGAGGGGANCGAGTGGGGANCGCG